GTGCAGCAGAGAGGGTGTAGGTGTGTGTGGTAAGAAGAGTCTCCACTTCTTGCTGTAAACTCTGTGATCTGGGCACGTGGTGGAACCACCTTGAGCTTCACCATATCCGGAAGTATGATTTGGTTATGAATGTTTCCTTTACTACCTGTGGGGTTGTTGGAGTCAGAAATACTTGAATTCAAATCCTGGCCATGCTGCTTTCTAAATGTGTAGTCTTTTCTAATCCATGAAATAAGCATCATAATTCCTCTTTCCCAAAGTTTCTTTGAGGATTAATGGATACAATGAATATGCAAAGGGTAACACCCATACATAGCCCAGTCCTTTTTTTAAAAAGTCCATTTGCAAAAAAAAAAAAAAAAAAAAAAGTCCATTTGCACCTTTCCAATGCTGTAGATTTATTTAAGGGAAGGACCTAGATAGAGAAAGATCCTCAGGCAAGAATAGCTGCATGATGTGCTAAAACCTCCTTTACTATAAAACAGGAGGTCAGTAGTTCTGAGTCCCGGTTGCATATTTGAATCACCAGGGACAATTAAAATGATTCCCAAGTATAAGGCTCACTACCAAAGATTCTGTTTTAATTGCTCTGTTGTGGGACTCCAGTCTTGAGTTCATAAAAGCTTGCCAGGTGTTTCTGATATGCACTGGACTGTCATTGCTTCTTGAACTAACATAAATTACCTGGAAATCTTGTTCAAATGTAGGTTCTGCTTCTCTAGGTCTAGGGTGCCTGAGATTCTGCATCTCTAACCAGCTCTGAGATGAAGCTGGTGCTGCTAGTCCAGGACCATCCTCTGAATAGCACGTGATTAATGATCAATAACAGTGGTTCTCAACCTTCAGTGTTCATCAGAATAGCCCAGTGGCTCTTTGAAAATGTAGCCCTTGGACCTGGGTTTATCCCTCACAAATTCCGTTTCACTTGGTTTCATAAGGGGCCAAGAGAATCACCCATCCATAATGTCCCTTTCAACCTGAAAATTTTATGATGTTCGTTTTATGATCTTATAATATGACGTCCCTCCCAATGCAATTGTTCAGGAAAAAAATTACAGAGACTGAAGGTGAGCGTGTGAGTCATCACTGTCAGAAACCTGGAAGGTGGGTGAACTCAAGTTATATTATGTCAGGACATGGCTGATCTCTATGCCATGTGTATCTTCAACCTCAAGAATTCTCCTTTTGAGTTAATGGAGACCTTCACAGAAGCAGGTTTTACTGTTGACCAAGCACTCATAGATTAATTGGGAGAGCATCCTTCACTGATGGACGATGAACAGGGTGATCCTAGATTTTTTTCTGCTCTCTGCTACACATCATGCTTTCCATAGCAGAGTCCCCGGAGGAGTGGGCTCATCTTCTCTACCTCAGGACCAAACCAAGGAATATGAAGGTCCACAGAGCAACCTGCTTTATTCCACAGAGCAAATGACTGACTTTTGAAAATCTCTGGGACTTTCAGAAGAATTTGTCCCACAATAGATTGGATTGCTTTTATCTTTCTTTTTCACCCTCTGGGATTTCTCTGGCTTTTACTAGCTAAAAGCATCTTCTACTTAGAGGCAGGCCTTTTGCCACTTCCCAAAAGGAATTGAAAAATAACTGTGACGGGGTCAAAAATATTATAATTCCAGTATCATGGTCTTAGATAACCATTTTTGCAAGTCATAAATAGAGAGGGGGTTGGTTTCTAAGAAGTTTATGAATTTGTAAATAAAACTGATATAAGGATGGCAATGTGGAAAATAAAACTCAGATTTTCTTGCTTCCCCCTTTAAAAATATTTACACCTTCAGGAACACTTGATCAGTCTACGGAAGTATCAACATGACTTTGAGAATGGACAACTCAAAAAGGCAATAATCACCCACCAGTTGAGTGGATCAAATCCCAGGTCACCCAAATTCTGGGTGCTCAGCTCCATACTGTGTTCCCATTTAGACCTTCTTTTAGAAGAGAGTGTTGGATCAGGGTTACCTGATCTCCTGTGCCCCTGTCCCCGGGATGGGCTGGCCAGGAAGAGAGCTGTTGTGTGCTGTGATTCAGCAGCAACACAAAACCCTAATTGCCTCAAATGCCCTTCCCAAGAGCCGGCTCCCATGCTGCCCCCTTTCCACTTGTGCTCAGAATCTCCCCTCAAACACATACATCTGGTTCTGAAAGGGAGGGGTACAGGCCGTGGTCTTCAGGCCTCTGCCCACTCACCCGAGCCCTTTATCAGGCCCAGGGGCTGGTTGTCTAGGTTGTCTAGGAAAGCCTGGGGAGTCTATACCAAGTGGAAGGAGGCTGCCATGGAGGACCTGGGGCAGTGTAGTGACAAATCCCACATCATAGTGACAGCAGAGAGGAGACTGGGGTTCACCGGCCCTACGTGGTCCAACTCTGGGGAAGGCATGGGGAGGAAAAGGAGGGGTCTCACTTTTCATGTGAAAAGGAGGACTAGGTGGATAGGGAGTACCAAGACAAACTCACTATTTTTCAATTTTCCCCTGAGTTGGGTTTTGATGTGACAAGAAAATAATCACTATGTTTTATAATTCATGTAAGATTTAATTTTCCTTTCTTTCTTTCTTTCTTTTTTTTTTTTTTGCTAAAAACAGGAGATTAAATGCCTATCAGGCTACATTCTTGTTTGGCAGTGGCTTCCTTATGAAATTTCAAGCAGAGGAGGGGACAGTGTTTTGCCAGGGATGTTTATTTTATTGATTTGCTGATGTGTAGCATTTCTTATGTGGCAGACAGTTTCGGTACTTTAAAATCTTACTTCATTAAGGCTCTAATCAGCTGAGGCACTGGGCACTATTATGGTTTCTGTCTTTTGCAGGGGAGGGAAATTCAGATGAAAGAGGTGAGCTTGTCCAGGTTCACTGTGGCAGACCCATGATTTGAACCCCCGCGGTCAGGGTCCCGGGTCTGCAACCACTGTGTCATCCTGCCTCTAATGCGGAGGAAAGTGTTCCTGTCCCAGGAAGGCAGGAGAGAAATTGGACTGGGTGGACTGGTCCTTAAATGTGGGCCCCTAGACTTTGGTGCTGCTAGGTAATCATCACTGGAGCTCTTGCTTAAAATGCAAACTCCTAGGCTGTACACCTGAATGTCTGATTCAGGAAGGCTGGGGTTTTAAAAAAATCGAAATAGATCATGTTTAGGGACCCCTCCACCTTACTACGAATTCAAGATCCTTTGATTGGAACATCGTTCCGGTTTTACCCTAAAATGAACGTGCTGTCAGGAGCACCAGTGGCTTATGCTACCACCTCCCCTGCATTTTCTAGTCATTCCAGCTCTGCTGTCTAAACCACAGTCACGGATGGCGACAATTCTGACCACTCCACCCCCAGACTCCATCTGCTGACAACCACCAGGCTGATTTGAGTCCTCCGAGCCTCCCACACCCTGCCTGCTTTCCTTTCGTGGAAGCCCGGAGCCCACAGGCTTCTGAAAAGCTTCAACTGTCTCTGCTGCCATGCAAAGTGGACATCTTTAACACTGTTAATGAACTTGACTCCCCTTCTCTGCTGACGATTGCACAGCTCAGGTAGACAACCCCACCACTGAACATTATTGTCCCACTCAGACTGAATGGATCAGACGCGGTAATGTTTAAACACGGGACTGTCCATGGGGACTGAGCCTCAGCCCCTTTCCTCCATCTACTTCTAGCATCCTCTTACTTGCAGACCCAGGGGAGGCTGGAGGTTCTAGCCAGAGTCTCCCTCTTCTCCTACTTCAGTAACATGTTCATGTCTCTTTAGGGGGCTGAGAGGAGCATTTGCTGGCTACATACAACCAGAGGCATGAGGAGAATTAGCTGTTGTACCACTTTGGCTAATTTAAGTTCTGCTGATGAACGCGCTGACCCAAGCAAATCAACCAGATAATTGCCCAGCCCCTCCTGACCTTAAGAAGCCTGGATCATACCCAGGAAAATGGAAGCAGAAAAGAAGGAGGCTTGCAAACCCTCGAGGCTGCCATGGGAGATTGGCTTGCCAGGGAGGTAAAACCAGTGCAGAGGAGACCTCTGGGAAAGCCAAGGCAGATTTCATCATGCCCCGTGTGAAATACCTGTCACCACCTAACAGTGCGCGATGCCAGAAGTCCCTGAACAGCATTCCTTCTCAGTTCTGCCTTATGACTTCCAAGAACTTGACTACTTTTCTCTTTAAGAATACGGTCATGGCCTTTCTCCTCAGTGCATCCCTTGTACCGTACGGGAGATGCCCATCATCAGATTGCTTTGACTGAATACTCTAAATATTCCATAGAATAGAGAAAATACACTTTTAAAAAATCTCCTGCCTGTCAGGAGATCCCATAAGACACTCCAGCTTCTTTCCAATGTGCTGGCAAAACATCCTCGATGCACCATGGAACAGGAAGAGCAAGCCAACCGGAGCCTAACAGACCATCTTGAACTATGTAATAAAAGTGCACATATCAGCCACACTTCACCATCGGCGTGCTCCTCACTGCTCCCCGAGTGCACTGTTAATTCCTCGAGCAGCCACGGAATTCGTCTAAAATAGATAAAGCAGCTCTAGAAGTGCAAAGCTGATCTCAGGAGCCCCTAATCGAGCTGGATTTCCGTCAGATAGGTCAGGGTGCCCTAGATCTCCTCAAGGGTAGTGGCTGAAAATTTAACCTCTTCGGGGGGGGGGGGCAGCATCGGACACCTTTCCGGATACCCATGCCTTGGGCGCAAGTAGGTGGGAAATCATTTTCTAACCTAGCTGTCCAAGGGGCATTTGTGTCAAAAGTTAGGTAGGACGCCTTTTTTTTTTTTTTTAAACCACATCCAAGAAGTTGGTGTTTATCCATTCTATTACATGCCTGCCTCAATTTCAGCAACAGATTGGTAGAGATGAGTTTTCGACTTAGTAATCCCGATTCCTGACCTTCTGCAGTACAGCTGATGCTGCTGCGGTAGATTCTGAACTGTCAGTATGAACCCAACATGCAAAAGAGAAGAGTTTACTCTCTTGCTCCGATTGTATTACCTTGAGCTCCTTGACTATAGAAGAATCTCTGAGCCGACTCAACATCCAAGAGTCTATGAGCAGACTCCACATCCAGAAAATAATCCATTTTGGGATAGTCCATCCTTGATGTTCCCAAAGCAGAGTTTCAAGACAAAATAGTCACTTGTATGCCTATGAAAAAGGAAAAAAAAAATCCACAATATTTTAGACTGTCAAATAGATGTTTAAAACCATATGTATATACACATACATATATATATAAACATATATGTGTATACAATGTATTATATTTGTTATATATTATAAGGATATATATTTATATATACCCATAAATGTATAGATATATTAACAATTTTGGAATAAGAACTATCCCATTATAATACTCCCTCATTTGACATTTCCAATTCCAAAGCCACTCTCAACATAGCTTTCCTACTGTATGAGAAAATGCAACATTTAATGAACATTCATTAAAAGAAATATATTCTACTCAGAAAAATAACAAACCAGATGATTCAAGCTAAAGAGAAATAACATACCAGTCTTTCCTTGTTGTATATTAACTGGAAAATAGGCTGTTAAATTCATATGCTATCCGTTTTCAAAAGGTCTGTCTGATGAATGGCACCGTTAAGTGTCAGCCGTTCTGAACTAATCCTCAGTTGGTCCAGGGAGTTTCGACTCCCCTAGAACAGCGAGAATCGCCTGGGAATCTGAGCCTCCACTTATAGGTGCCTTGCGTTTATGACACATGCTGACATGTTTGCTGTAAAAAATGCGTTGGATTCCTTCCTTTTTGGTGATTCCCTCAGCACATTTTATAAAATGCTACAGGATCATCACCTGCTTGCCCCTGATCCAGGCTGCTTTTGAGAAAGAATCCTGGTTTGTACTCAACAATCCCCATAATATTATCATGCATTAGCCTGTCAGGAAGCTGATGCACTTCATTAAAAAGCATTCAGCCTGTTGGGTTCTTTTTAGCATATGTAGCCTTTCCCTGATACTTGCATACATGAAGTATCTCTATTTCTGCAGGATGTTTTTGGAAAGAATTTATAAAACCAAGTCATTAAAATCAAGCTCAGAAGGCTAATCCAATTAGTTCTTCTTTCTAACAGTGCATATTTTAATATAAGAACCCAAATCTGGTAAGAGGAAACTTTAAAAAATACCCAAAGGTACCCCAACAGCAAATCATACTTACTGCAAGAGGAAAAAAAATCAAGGACAAACTGCTGGCAGTAAAAGCAAGAAAAATTTCAGCTGGAGTGTCTTTGATCTCACTAAATTCCCAATGAAAGTAAACAATTTTGATTGTTTGATTGGAACAGTGATGAATAATGTATACAGTCCACTGGACCTCCTTTATCATATAAAATGGCCAGAGCATGTTACCTTAGCAACAGAAGGTGACGCCAGCCTCAGCCTCTTTGTATCCTCCACTCTGAAGGAAGAAAATGACCAGTTTCCCATACAAAACTTGGGCACAATATCATCACCATCAAAATCTACATGTAACCATCATGTGGTCTGGTCCCCATCACCCCTTCCATCTCTTACACAGAGAAGTGTCATCGTCATTGAAAAATGGGTTTTGGCTTTAATAATTTATGTTTATAGCCCCAAGTCACAGTTTGATTTGCAATTGCAACAGAATCACATGATTAAACAATGAGTAGGATAGAAAAGTTGCCTAGAAATTGTTGGGGGGCACCCAGTTCTTACCCTAACGCTGGCTCTTGGTTGTAGGGAAAGGCCGTTCGAGCTTAACATATGCTCAATGTTCCCCTGTTATAATTAATACATAGATCAGTCACCAGCATCTCGGCTGAAAATAACTCTCTTTCCTTCTGCAAATCAGTTGCTGGAAGAAGCTGAAAAAGCTGCCCGAAATTTCCCAGCTTTTAAAAAATGCATTATAACATAGCTCTTTGGGGAGCTGTCCCCCCACCCCCCAGAAAAGAAAGGTAGCCAAAAATGAGACAGGAAAGGAAGAGTCCTGAAGTTAGCAGATACTCACCAGCAGGACACCGCAGAGCATCAGATGAAGCTGTGTAATGCTGCTGAGCATGCGAGCCCAAATGAACAGCTTCTAATTTTCCCTTCAATCTCAATTCAAGAGCACTGAGCAGAGGCGAGTGATGGATTTGCCCATTTTATATTGTGATGAAATGCAACCCTTAAAAAGAGATCTGAGTGGAGCTGCTCTTTAGAACACATTAGACTGCTAATTTAAGAAAATTGAAAGGTTTTGTTTTACTGTCTTTCATGTGTTCTCTCTGCTACCCCCTCAATTTAATTTGCATTTAAAATTATGCTCATGTCTCTTCAGTTCTCCAAGGTGTGGAGTACTTTCTAATCACGATGGCTGCTTGGGTAGGGGTTGGTGCAACGCCACTTTTATTCTGAGCTGCAAAACAAGGTGGGTAACTATAATTGTGAGCTGTTTTCTGGAGTGAAATATAAAGTGAACATCTGATTTCACCCCCTCCCTCTTCCTGGCCTTTCTTCCCCTTCCTGTCTCTGACTGCTTGGTCAAAGCTCCAGCCCAAATCATGCCAATCTGTCTAAAAGCGTTCTTTTCTGTCTGAATGTAACAAAGTAAACCCAACAGCAAAAGGAAACTTTGGTTAGATACCTGAGCTTATTCTGGTGGGATATCTTCCCTACCAGACCTCAGGAAGGACTTTTAGACATAATACTTGGAGATGTGCTCATGAAAGGCATAATGAGAGCCAGATGAAAGCCTGATAGTGGGTTTTTGACCCTTTGTTGACCAAGAAGAATTAGTAATAAGTGTGGCATGGTGTGTGGTATGTTGGATTGTTAAGAAAAAAGAAGGTACATTTGAGAAGTCTTGGATGGAAGGCCACCACACTCCCCCCTCCCACAGACAGAATTCTTCCGGCTGCTTTTGAGACAAACCTGAAAATCTGCTGTTTATCTTGTGGGCTCTACCACCCGATCAGAACAAATCAGATACCAAGCTGGGGCGGCTGAGTTAAGCCTGATGAAAGAGGAAGCTAAAACTACCAATCATATGTTCTTGTAGGGAAAGTCCACCTTGGAGCAGAATACTCAATGCTTTGCTCAGACCCAAGGACTTACTTTTGTAAGGTTACATTTCTATTCAGCCTCCAATGGAGACATGCTGAACACTTGACATTTACAAGAGGAGAAAGCTGTCTTCTGGTTTCTTTAGCTTACAGTGAGGTGTGGGCGACAGGTTCTGAACTCTCTATTGTGAATCTATGGAAATTGTAATGACTCATAGGTGAGAGAGAGAGAGAGAGAGAGAGAGAGAGATGGGGAGAGAGATTGCGCAATCTACTGCTGCTGACAAACACTGAACATTTAGGTGAGCACAGATGAATGTGTGATTGAAGACAGAGATACTAAATTGGAAATTTGAAAAATAGAGTTGATTTCCAGAGGTTGGGGGATGGGTTTGGAAGTAAATCATTTTTGGAGAGTTGACCAAGAAAGGTAAATTTGAAGTGTCTTACACAATGTACATGCAATATGAAAGGACCATGATTTAAGAAAACTCAGAGAGGAAAATTTCAATTTAGAGAAAGAAATATATTGGAGAAGGAGACGATTCTTCACTTGCAAAATGGGGACTTCATTTTCCTAAATAATTAGCAACTGGGTTTTTTTTTAAAAACATAGTATGACCAGCCTCTGAAATAGATTTTTTAAAAAATGCTTTTACTCTCTGAGAGCATAGATATAGATTGCATATAGGAATATCTGGGTGAGGAATTATTTTTAAAAGTGGGAAGCAATTGTAATGTTCAAAAGCCAATGTCATGATCTGATCAGCTCAGTTCTGTTTCGTAACTTTAATCTGCTCAAAAGCAATGTTTATAATGATCCACTGTTCTGAGGTATAATAGAACCAGAAGGCAAAGTTAGAGCAAGGATTCAGACTAACACTTATGTTGCACTGAACAGTTCAGCCCAAATCATCTTCAAGACATCAGCTTGAAAAGTTAACTCAGACAATGTTAACATATCCTAGTGAGCAAGAAATAAAAAATTATTTTAAAAGAGGCCAAAGTAGAGTTATATCTTTTACATCAAAAGTGTTATAATATGGAAGTTTGGAACTGTAAGACTGAAAAAAATAATCCGGGATTTTTACAAATACACGACATGGTAGAGATATGTATACTTTCTATTCAGTTTGGTGACAAGAGCATATGTGTATGAGGACAAAGGGGAGCAGTATTTGATTAATTCAAAATGGAGGTATATTTCACGATGGAATCTGGAGACCAGGGAAGATAGCAGCTTGCATTAATTAATTTGGGGGTATACTTATTTATTCTATTGGATGGCATAAGACCTAGACATTTTGGGAAAGGAAGTCACATGATTTGTAAGTAGACAACTGGCTTTTTTGTTCTTTTGGTATCATCGTATTGGCTTCCATCAGAGTCAGTCTGGGTTTACTGTTTACTAAGAGATGAAGAGTTTTGTGTTATCGACAATTTTATAATTAATTTTACTTGTTTAATTGCTTCACCCGATCAGAACAAATCAGATACCAAGCCGGGGCTGCTGAGTTAAGCCTGATGAAAGAGGAAGCTAAAACTACCAATCATATGTTCTTATGAACATCTGCTAGAGAGCTCTCTAGCAGACGATGTTTTATATTTGTGGTGAACTACATGAAGTTCTGCCTTCTCTCTTCATGAAATCTTGGGGAAGTTTCTCTTTTCCCAACAAACCCAACTTTAATTTTAAAATATTAGAAGCTCTCTTAAAGTGTGGGAGCATTTTGGATTCTTTGGTGGGGTCCCTACATTGAAGATCTTTGGTTAAGGGCTAGCTTGCTAAATAAGTATAGAAAACAATATATTCATTTTATTTCTGCAGATAGTTGACCTCAGAATATGTTGCAATAGCAGTGGTTTCTCTTTGGTTGGCAAGTCACTCTTATGTCTTAACCCATCCCTCAAAATAAGTCTCTCCTTCCCTGCTCACTAATGATTGTCGTTAAATGGTAGGAGACTGCAAACATTTTATCTGAGGTTTTATCCATATTGAACTCTCCCTGAGAGATGAAACACTTTAAGCCATCATCGGTTACTTTTACTTTAAAGTAATTGAATTTCCAGACTTTTCTTGTGAGAAGGTTTTGATGATAGTTGGAAAGCTAA